TTTCTTTATTCAAATAGATTTTTTTTTTCATGAATATATAGTTGACCTGAAGAATGAAAGCTGTATCATACACTTGGAAAATTATGAGCTATAACACCACTTATCGACACTAGGGGTGTGACAATACACTTAGCTTACGAGACAAAATACAGATACTTGATTCACTAGAACGTGCCAATATTTTAATACTATTTTTAAGAAATTTTCAATGACAAAATATTTGTCTTTTAATTACAAAAAGTAAAACAATGCAGTTGTATTTAGAAATATTTTAACTAATCTAGGCCTGTAACTACTGATTATTCTGATAACCGAGTAATCTGATTTTTTTAGTAAGAAACAGACCTAAGTGAAAACCAGGCTTTAGTATGACTATTTAGGCTATATATAAACTAACGATGAGGCAATAATAATTCTCAAATATAAAATATCAAAACCAAGAAATTACATGATTGCATTGAACAACACTGTTAAAATACATAATGTCACATGCCTATACATAATATAAACATAACCTTAACTTAAGTACATTATGTATTAAAACAAATACCTGCAGAGGGCGCCAACGGCCTGGTGACGTTTCACTTTACAGCGTGATTACATGTTTAAATCCATTTAATTTTAATATTTTAGGAACTTTTATTTTGAAATCGCGATGTACAATACATGGCATATTTAGACATAAGTTGATGTATTTTCCTGTGTTGGCAAAGCCTTATAAATGATTTACGTTACAAATCTAGAGAGAATGCACAGTTTTTCCAGATCAACGTTAAGCAATTCAAACTCAACGCATATGCAGAGGAAGAGTTTAGCCCCTTTCACACATACAGTACTGGTAAATTACCGGTAAGTTACCATTAATAGATCATGTGTGAACAGGACCTTTTAAAAAATCCTGGTAAATTTGTTCTGGCAATCATATCGTTCTTATGGAGATGAGAGCTGTTTACAAAGCTCCGCTGCTTTTTAATTAGTTTTTCTATATAAAAATATGCGCTAGATGGACATCTTTGACCATTGCGCCTGACAGCTTTTTGTCACGCTCCTCCATTCATCAGAGCTGCGACTCCGCAATTGGATACTATTATGCGCGTCTCGTGTTTATAAGAGCAAAACATTCTGATTGGCTAGTAATGTTAGTTTGGTTGAGAGTGAAAGCTGTGCTCCTCTCATACCATTGGTAGGCAAAGTCGTTGATTCGAAAGTGATATCAATCAACAAGATTTTTTTTAAATGTAGGACTATTTTTTTCCGCAGCCAAACGCTGCACGTCGGAGATCCGGCACGGTGCCGGAGAACTTTTAAGCCCCGAGTATAATTGCCCAATGACATACAGGTAACTGCTAGAGAAAATATTGAAATATATATTTTCCTCCCATCTCGAATTTATTCTCTTTAGGGGTTCCGTAGTACACGTCATTTTCTTTCCAAACACGGTATTGGGATGCGGCGGATTGCGGGGGTGGAATCACGATGCTGGCTCAACATCGTGATGTCTATTAGCCATCGGCGATGGACAATGGCATCGTCTATTGGCCCAACCCTAGTGGGGAACAAATAAAAGTGAGTAAGTGTAGGGCTAAATCTGGTCAATTTAGGGGTTCCGTAGTACACGTCATTTTCTTTCCGGACACGGTATTGGGATGTGGAGGGGAGGGGTTGTTTATCACGATGCTGGCTCAACATCGTGATGTCTATTAGCCATCGATGATGGCATCGTCTATCGGCCCAACCCTAATATGTATTATGTATTCTGTCTAGAACTGTTTGTATTATGGCCTGAATCATCTCACATTTCAATTTTATTTTCCAGGTAAAATGATCACAGCAGCTTATGTCCCTCTTCCTACATACCACAACCTTTTCCCAGAGTCAGTGCAGGCAACACAGCTTCTAATGCCCAGTCGTCGGTGATCAATCACCCCTGGAAGACTCAACTTTTTCAGCCTTGCTCTTTTTAACTTCTGGACAATAATAACAGTTCTGCAAGCTGTGGCACAGTTGTTTTGTTTCCTTTTAAGTTGGTTACAAAACCAGTAAGGTTAAAAGTTTCACTTGCATAGTGTCCTTACAGGTCTTGGACTTTGAGAGAAGTTCTGTGGTGTAAAAAGTTTCCTGTGTACAGCCTACTTGTTGAATTTTGCTTTTTGATCTTTTATTGTTTGTACATTTTTTTTTTCCCCCTTCAACATATATCGTCTTTGTGATAGATCTGATTGGCATGTTTCTCACTCGAGGAGGTGTACAATATTGACAGATACACAATATAAATGGCTTAGATTTAAACTGCAATTTTGATCAGACATGAACATATTCAACTTTTTAGCTCTATGAGCTGTGGGAACTAAATAGCTGACAAATCTTTTGTTCATTTAGAGACCATAAGGTTTAGAAACATTTTGTTTTTCTAATCAAGATTAGATTTTTGTAAAGTCCTTGATGAAAGTTCATTTCAAATAAAGCCAAGATAACAAAAACATTTTTTATCCTCATTTCATTTGAACTGAATTCCTGTTTTTAAAAAAAATCAAAAGAGAGCTGTCTTTTTTTTTTTTTTTTGTTCCTGAGGTTTGCTGCTATATTTATTGGTTAATGTTAATGAGTATAAATTAAACTGAAAAAAGAGGTGTGTCCAGAAAGTATCCAGCCATATATTATGAATAATACGAGATGAGGGATGCAATAAGATGAAAATGGCTGCAGCTATGGGCAACTGGTCACGACAATGCACCTGCCCATGCATCACATCTCGTGCAGAGTTTTTTGCCAAAACATCAAATCGTTCCCGATCAGCAGCTCTGGACGTGCCTCGTAAATGCGGTTCAAGAGCTCACCGCTCCACTTGAACTTCATGTCTCCAAAAGCCCTGAAAGGAATCAACAGGCCCAATAACCTGTCATGTTTTACCACTGTCTTCCGCTCGGAAGCAGGATGCTCTGAAAGAACCCGTTGCATCTCATCTGGGTTGTGGGCATTGTGGTCATTGGTAACAGTGAGAGCTGACCACCTCCCATCATCCCCTTGTACCCCGAGCACTGCTTTGCTGTCACCCAGATTGGCCACATGAAGATCTTCTCAGTCCACGTGAGCCACACAAGCCGTGCATCCAGAGAGAGCAACTCTGAGAGGTGTGAAATGAGCAAAAGGAACCCCAAAGTCCACCTGGGCCTCCAAGGAAATATCGTTATCCAGCCTCTTGAAAGCGTTTCTTAAAGCTGTTTGTATATCACTGTCATCATCCTCGTGCAGATCTATCATCTCCTGCCAGTATGTCCTCGGGCTATTGAAGTATAGTTTGCCAGCATCTGTGCTAACATAGTCGTTGGGATGCTTGTGCCATTGTAGCACTGGAAGTACAGGCCGTTCACTCTCCACTGCCTCCTCTATCTCAGTTAAAGTCTTCAATGGAAGTAGAGACACGGCTATGTAGTAAAAGAGGCGTTCACTAAAAGAGGCCATCAAACACTCTATAAACAGCATGCCTCGGCTCTGTAGACACGTTGCACCACTCCATCTGTCTTCACATGGGGAGTTTGATGGTAGGATATTACTATCAAAACCTTTTATTGACCCGTTATACGTCCATCATAGCCATTTGGTTTTAAACTATATTCATTAGTCTTTAAAACATGGTTTATTTGTGTGAGCGACATCTCTTTTGCTTTGGCATTGTATTTTCTTCTGGGGTTTAGAATCATTGGTGGATTTGTGCAGACTGGTGTGCAGATTGTAGATTGTAGAGTCAAATATCCCTGCACTGCTGTTTTCCATCTCTGTAATGACCACAGATGTCTAAAGTGGTGCACTGAAGTTGGAGACATTTATGCCAAGAGAAGTTCTGGTGGATTCTGAACCTGTAAATGTGTTGGGTTAAATTAATTTTAAAAAATCAAACCAAAGTAAGCAATCAAGATTTACTGTGCTAAGAAAGTAGGCCTATACATGAACATATAACTAAGTACAGTTCAGCCATACTGTATAGTGGCAAAAACAAAATGATTGCATGCAAGTGCATCTGTTACTAAAGGCTCTCTAGACACCAAATTATTATTTTTCAATAAATACTAGATATAAATGGAATTGTATACCTGTTAGAGCCGATGTGAATATTGTAAACGTACTTCTCCAGACTTTTTATATTTCACAGATCTGCTTCCTCGTCCCACGTTGTTTTAAAATAATGTTCAAGGGATGGAAAAGTACAAAGTCCATTCTATTTATATTCTTGCGCGGGAGCGCGCCTACCTTGTGCGGTCTTTCTGCTGCTCGTGGCAGTATTTTAAATATTTCAGTATTAGAAAATTTTAACTTAAGGACGTCGAACCCTAAAAAACACAAATGTCATAATTATTACATAAAAAATCGAGATTATGACAAAACGTCATCATTATGACATAACGTTACACTGAAATATTAATACATAATTATGAAATCAAATTTAAAGAAGTTGCTTTTTTTGTAAAATTGTGAATTTTCATCTCATTTTTTTTGGCATAAGTTCGTTATGCAACGATTATGTTTTTAATAATTAAAAACAATTCATTATGATTCTTCATAACTATGTAGCTTCATTTGATTATATTAGAACATGATGACGTAATTACGTAATGAACCAAACAACCACCGAATCGGTTCTTTAAAACGATCTGTTCAAAAGAACCGGTTCGCGGAAATGATTCGGACTTCCGATCACTACTTGTGGGAACATAATATAAACAAAAAAAGACAAAAAGATGTCTTTCATTAAACACTGTTGATTTTCTCCAAATGGACTGGATATTTATATTTCCAAGGACAGATGAACGAACCAGTTAGAGCAGCATTGTATTGGTTCATATTCACAATTTCCGGTAAAAGAAAGACATGCAAGGTTTAGGTTTCAACCAATAAACTCCGTAAACGTCACAAAAACCCGCCCACAAGTGACTCAGATAACCAATGACAGTTATAATAACAGTCGTCCCGCCCCAGCTCTAAGTGCGTCTTGTGTAAGCATTGGAGTGTGTTTTGAGGGCTGATGACACACTGTCCTGTGAAGGTAGTGGGCATGTCGTCGTCTCTAAAGTTGCCCGAGTAATACATTTGTTTATCTTTTGGTTGACGAAGGCTTTATAAGAAGCTATCTGCATTATTTCTGTCATTGTTTATGTTGAGAACACTGTAATTGAATAAACATGATGAACGGGACTCTATCAAGAAAACTTCTGGGTTCCATGTGTGGGATCTCCAGCCGTCGACTGAGCTTCGCTCAAAGCGCTGTCAACGCTGTGCAGAAGCAGAAAGGTCGGTACAGTATAAGTACATCTAATTCTCTAGTCTAGAGACTAACAGAGACGCAGTTGTATTTAGCTTGTGTAAGTTACTCTACAAGGCTGTGCTAATAGAAGTATTAGCAAGCTGGCATGTAAATACTTTCTAGTATGGCTGTATTTATTCCAGTCACTATGACTTTTAATGTTGATGAACATGCCTGTCTTTTTCCACAGAGTTGATCAAGAGTAGGGAACTAGAAAAGGATGAACTGAGACCGCTGTATATGGACTTTCAGGCCACCACACCCATGGTACCCATCTGCTGTAGTCATCCTAATTATACTCCTGCCATGTAGATAAAGTAACTAATCAGACTCGTAAATCTAGTGCATGAGAACATTTCTGGGATGTTTATATGCCATTGTTTTCATTGAAAAATGTTCCAGGACCCAAGGGTTTTGGATGCCATGCTTCCCTATCAAGTCAATTACTACGGGAACCCACATTCCAGGACTCACGCTTATGGATGGGAGAGCGAGACCGCAATGGAAAAAGCGAGAAAAGTTAGTCTTTATACTTCCTTGCATGTATTTATAAGAGAAGCAAGAACATTCTCTGAATTATTAGCATTCTCAGATAGCTGAGAGTTGTATTTATGAGTACTGAAGCATAATATTTTGGTTAAGTCAAAAATGCGCTGTTTATGGTAGCACAAATGTTTATTTCCTCTTCAGCAAGTAGCAGATCTTATTGGTGCTGACCCGAGGGAGACTGTGTTCACCAGTGGTGCGACTGAGTCCCAACAATATGTCAATCAAAGTAAGTATGTCATTACTGTGAGGCAAGATTAGGAGAAAGTGGGACGCAGGGACACAAATGACTAGACATATTCTAAATAAACAAATATGTAAAGTTTATATAGTAGGCACTGCTAGTAACTAAATATCTCTTGGTTGTTCTTTTATGTCTTGTTTTTTTTTCTTTTTTAAAGTGTGTGGCTCGGTTTTATAAGGCTAAGAAAACCCACATCATCACCACCCAGACTGAGCACAAGTGTGTGCTGGACTCTTGCCGAATTCTGGAGGCAGAGGGTTTTGAAGTAACATATTTACCTGTGAAAAATAATGGACTGATTGATTTGAAGGTAAGCTTTCTTAAAGGGGAAACATCCAATTTCCGCGCCAATTACAGCACCAATCAGAATAGCAAACGATATTGCTAAACACGTTTTATACACTCAACTCCCTTGTTTGACAAATTGGTAGTCCTGCATCAAACTAACTCTACTGGTTGAAGTAATGTAATTTTATGGATGCTCTTATAGATTGCAATCAGTGTGGGGAAGAAACTAGTTATATGTAAATGAATTACGTAATTTAATTACAAAATAGATGTACCTGTAATCTGACACAGTTACTGAGAAAAAATGGTATTTAAATTACAGTTACTTATGAAAATGTTAACAGTTACGAATGGGGTTACATCTGAATATTTACACACACACACACAAACACAGATTTAATTGATTTCTTTCCCAAATTGCATTGACTGCTCTAAAATATGAAACACCAGTGTTTCAGGATTTTAGGAAACAGAATAGGACACATTCTTATTTGATTACTGTTTTATTTCCTGCTTGGTTTTATGTATATGCTTTATTTTTCCCAAGGCATTAGTAGATGGCAGTGTTTCCTGTCATAGCTGTGCAAAGATTTGATTTCAAAAACAGTATCATAGCTATTAAACTATATCGTGTTATGATTTTGAATCCGTATTTAACCTCAGAACGATCTCAAAGTAAAAAAGAGGTGCTAAAGTCAGATTTTGTGGAGGCTGTGCTTTAAAATTGAATTTTTATATTCTTAGGATTTTGAAAGTAATTAGGGATGTAACGATTACCGGTTTGACGATAAATCATGATAAAATTCCCCACGGTTAGTATTACCGTTTCATCTTTTAATTATCATTAAAAATGTATTAGATTACTGCGATTTGAACAACTCATGATAAATAAATACTATCCAGCATAAAGCACAGATAAGTAACAGTCTCACGTGCGCACAGCACGCAGAGTAGTTTCGTTTTGAGTGAAAACAGGGTGGAAAAGCTGGGAGGTTTTAAAAGAGTGCTAAGGGAATTATACAAATGAATATATGAATTAATTAATTATATGAATGTACCTCTGAAGGTTCTGACTGTCTTCAGAAACGATTCGATGGCATTTTGTTTTCATCTTCGCTCCATGTAATACCTAAAGGAAGTGTTCTTATCCCAATACTGTTTTGTCCACGGAGGTTACGGGAAACAGCTCTAATTCAGCTTTTCCATAAGCGCCACCTGCTGTCAAGCGAGTGGATTTACAGAGACTTACATTTACATTCAGCTTGCTTGCAGTTTTTGTCTGGCCGCATTTGCATGCCCTACTGTAGCCTAAATTTTGACCAGTTGATGAAAAACAAGCTTATGTGGATTCTACACATTTAAACAATTCAGATAAGTTATCTAGAATTATTTATGGAGCAGATAAAATACATATAATCATTTATTAATCAATTATCATTTTGACATATCTTTTCTTTGTTTAAAGGCTGAAATGTGAGGTTTACCTTTTTATGAAACTTTTTCAAAGCTTTATTTGAACATTTACATGAGATATTTCAACATGCTATTAAACTGTTGTCAGTCAAGTTGTCATTTAAAATCCGAACATCATTGGTAATGTTATTGTTTTAGTGATTATGCAAACAAAAAGTCATTTTATTTGTTGTTTGTTGATTTTTAAATATAAAACTTGGGGAAGTGATTTATGTGTCGGTACTTCTTGAACATCTCCAGCACATTTTAACAATACCGTGATAATACCGATAACCGTGATTAATTTTGATCACTATAATCGTGATAAGAAATTTTCATACCGTTACATCCCTAACAGTAATCAGTGTTGAGTACCTCTGTAAGGTTAACCCTGCCTGGTTTAAATGTTTGAAAATTAATATTGAGAAATTTAGAAGAGTCACCAAAATAATCAAATGTAATCAGTTACATTACTTTAAAGAAGTAATTGAAATAGTTACACTTCTTATTACATATCAAATAGGGTAACTTGTAATTGTAATTACATTTCTAAAGTAACCTTCCCAACACTGATGATCCTGTTGGTGGCTAATTTTGGCACATAAAAAAAAACATGAAATTCACCTTTATAAAATAGTTTTTTTTTCCATATTTCATTTTTTTTTTTTTTTTTT